AGCAGAGAAGGCTGATTGATCGAGACTTTGGCACATGCGTCTAGGACACATGAGTGAAAGGGGTCTACAAGTACTCCACGGCAAAGGCGTGCTTTCAGGAATAACTCAATGCAAACTTAACTTTTGTAAGTATTATGTTATGGGGAAGCAATGTAGAGTATTTTTCTCTACTTTGTAGCATAAGTCCAAGGGGTTACTAGATCTTGTCCACATTGATGTGTGGGGGCCCTCACCGAAGGCATCCATTGGGGGTGCGAGGTATTAGGTTACCTTCATTGATGATTTCTCCAGGAAGCTTTGGGTCTATTTCTTGAGGCAAAAGTCTGAGGTTTTTCAGAAGTTCAAGGAGTGGAAGGCGTTGGTGGAAAATCAGACGGGGCTGAAATTGAAATTCTTGAGGTCAGATAATGGGGGTGAGTACACCTATGGGGAATTCAAAGAGTACTTGACTGATGAAGACAACCAGCATCTATTAAGTGTGCTAGGATGACCAGAACAAAACGGAGTAGCTGAACGCATGAATCGGACACTGATGGAAAGAGCATGTAGCCTCTTACTACAAGCAAACATGTCCAAAGGTTTTGGGCGGAAGCGGTAAACCATGCGTGTTATTTGATTAACAGTTCACCATCTATAGTCGTTGATCTTCAGATCCCAGAGGAGATATGGCGAGGAGAATCAGTGGACTAATCGACTTTATGCATATTTAGTTGTCTAGCATATAGTCTTGTAGACAGTCAAAAAAGAAACAAGCTGGAGTCCAAGTTGAGATAGTGTATCTTCATAGGATTCACTTCTGAAGTCAAAGGGTACCGGTTATGGGATCCTGAGACTCACAGTGCCTTTACCAGTAGAGATGTGGTCTTTGATGAAGACGCTATCATGCGGGCAGATTCGAAGACAAAAGACAAGGCGTAAGGTGGAGCTCCAGATGCTTCTACAGATTCTCGGGTACAGGAGGTGGAGTTTTCGGAACGCCTTGCAAGCTCTAGTGGGCCTATCGATGAGACTCCAACAAGCGATGGAGACAGAGCTACTACACAGGATATGGGAGTAGCCAGGAAGATCTTAAGTATGGAGATCTCATGAGATAGGATTTTTGGCAAACTTTGGCTGTCCCAAAAGAATTATATTCTCAAGGTGTTGAAGAGTTTAACATGGATGAAGCACGATCGATTTCTACTCCTTTAGCCGGTCACTTCAAATTATCCTCAGAGAAGTGTCCAAAAACAGTTGAGGAGTAGGAAAAGATGTCTCAGATACCATATGCGAGTGCGGTGAGATCGCTGATGTATGCTATGGTTTGCATTAGGCTTGACTTAGCCTATGTAGTAAGTTCAGTAAGTCAATTCATGTTAAATCCAGGAAATCAGCATTGGGAGGCAGTGAAGTGGATTTTGCGTTATCTATGAGGGACTACAAAGGTGGGCCTATTGTTTCAGGCTTTGGAGGATAAAGGGTCTAAGAAACTATAGGGATACGTTGATGCAGATTACGCATGCGATCTTGATCAGCGGGGGTCAACGATGGGGTATGTATTCACAGTTTCTAACTGTGCTATTAGTTGGAAGGCTGAGTTACAAGAAACCGTGGCTCTTTCGACGACTGAGGCGGAGTACATAGCTGCAGTTGAGGCATCGAAGGAAGCTATGTGGTTGCGGGGTTTGGTCAGGATGTTTGACATCATGCAGGATTCAGTACCTATTCATTGTGACAGTCAGAGTGTGATTCATCTTGCGAAGGATCAGAGGTATCACAAGCGGACGAAGCACATTGACATCAGGTATCACAAGATCCAAGAGTGGATTGATAGGGAAAAAGTGATCGAATTGATGAGGATTAGTACAGAGAAGAATCCGGCGGAGATGATGACAAAGGCCATTATTAGGGCTGAGCATGGTTCGGTCCAAACCGAAAAAACCGACCGAACCGACCCGAACCGACCAGAAAAAATCGGTTTTATGAGTAGGACGGTTCGGGTCGGTTTGAAAACTTTTCAACCCGAACTGACCCGAACCGACCGAATATAGTGCAATACTACCCATTCTGATCTCAAACCCTACCCGACACGTCCCCAAAGAGTCAAAACCTCAAACCCTAAACTAATTTTCTGAATCATTATGGGTTAAAAACAATATCATTATATCAGTGTTTAATGCTTCATAATCTCCTACTTTGTTGATACATTTTTTTCTTTAACACAATTTATTGTTTGATAAGAAGTTTTTTCTTTAACACAATTTGTTGTTTGATAAGAAGTTAGAACCGAATAAACCGAACCGAACCGCACCGAACCGACTTGCAACAATTCGGTTCGGTTTTAAATTATAGGCGGTTCGGTTCGGTTGTTCAAATTTTGGAAAAAACCGAACCGAACCGACCGTTGCACACCCCATTATAGTGGAGAAGTTCAAAGCATCTCTGGACTTTATCCACGTTCTTCAGAAGTAACTTTGGAGAAATACTCTTTGGGTGAAGTTGTATAAAGTAGGGGTTGATTTTGAAAAATCTTCGCGAAGGATTGACTCAACGTGATGTGAGTCAAGGTGGAATTTGTTGAGTTCGTGATGACTCAAATCAGTTGAGAAGCAGGATTGGGTTCAGACTCTAATTAGGAATATTCCACCATTGTTAGGGGTGTGTAGTTTCAACCTCTTGTAATCTCTTCTCAAAAGAAATAAGATCTCCCCCTTTCTCCCCGTGGACATACACGGATCATCTTGATCGCGTGGAACCACGTTAAATCTTGTTGTTTGCTGTTTGTCTTGATTGCTTGGTAGATTTGGGGTTTCTTGATTGTTTAAGTTTTATCTTCCGCGACTTGAATATTCCAACGTATACTTCGATTTCATTTGCACTCTCACATTTATTTCTTTGATCTTTTTTCTTTGAAAATTTGAACAAAGATTTGATACCAATATATAGAGCTCTAATATGGATATAAAATGTTGGTGAATTATTTATGGTGCTTTCTTTATATCCCATCATGTTCCTCTATGTATCTAATTGGATAATCCACGTTGAAGATGTCATTTTATTGAGTAATGTAACATATACCTTGAGCTTTTTAACACAAATCTAACTACAAATTAAAAGCAACATGGTTAATCGAAAGACGTGAAAGACGCTGGCACCGCTTCCATGCTGTGGAGCATCAACTGCAATTTTACAGCTCATTGAGATCAATGAGATATGATTTAATATAAAAAATATAAATAAAAGTATTATGTAATCATTATATTAAAGTTAAATATAATTAGAAATATTAAATGTTTAGGGGATAATGATGATTACAATTAGATATGTACGTAAACTTTACTTTTCCATCATTAAAAACCTAAATTAAGTTAAACACAAATTATTTCAACTTTTAATATAAATATTAATTTATACATATTAATATATAAATTATAATTTTAAAAATACAAATTGATCAATGTTAATAACATATTATTATTAGCAATTAAAAACTTCTTTCAATACTTTACTTCAAATCTTTATTTCATTTTCCATTAAGTCACTTCATCATTTTTTTGTCCACTAAAAACATTTAAAATGTAAAACAAGTAGTCTCATGTACAACTGCACGTCTAATATACTAGTTTTTTAAATAAGTTTTACATGTTATATTTCCTCTCCTTTAACTTAACTTCTCCCATGTTTAGTTAACCTTGCTTCGCTGGCTCCAAATCCCTGGTGTGTTTGGATTTCAATGGGGTTAAGGGAAGTTAAGAGGCTGTTTGGTTGTATGTTTTTACCGTGTAAAAGGATGGAAAGTGTAAAAAAGTGGGTTCCAATGTCAGCTTTCATCACTTTCAATTGTTTGTTTGTAGTTGTGAAAATAGTGTAAAGTGATTTCATATGCTGATGTGGCTTGCAAAGTGATTTCATAAAAAAAGACATGATTTTAGGAGAAAGCTAACATTGAAAACAGAAAAAATAATAAAAAATAATTCCAACCAATATGATCATTTGAGTAGGGACCACTTTTTACACTTTCCAAACAAACAATTAAAGTTACATTTGCAAACCAAACAAGCAATTTATGATTCCAATGGAATCAAAAACAAACAAAGAAAAGTATACAAGTGAAATTGATGAAGTGGACAAAAACTTTCCAAGTTGTGTCATAAATACACAATTTTACCAACAACAACCAAACAGCCCCTAAGGGAAACTAGGTGAGAGAATAGGGGGCTGTTTGGTTGTATGTTTTTACCATGTAAAAGGATGTAAAGTGTAAAAAAGTGGGTTCCAATGTCAGCTTTCATCACTTTCAATTGTTTGTTTGTAGTTGTGAAAATAGTGTAAAGTGATTTCATATGCTGATGTGGCTTGTAAAGTGATTTCATGAAAAAAGACATGATTTTAGGAGAAAGCTAACATTGAAGTTAGGAAAAAATAATAAAAAATAATTCCAACCAATATGATCATTTGAGTAGGGACCACTTTTTACACTTTTCAAACAAACAATTAAAGTTTCATTTTGCAAATCAAACAAGTGTTTTATGATTCCAGTGGAATAAAAAACAAACAATGAAAAGTATAAAAGTAAAATTGATGAGGTGGACAACAACTTTCCAAGTTGTGTCATAAAAAACAAACAATGAAAAGTATAAAAGTAAAATTGATGAGGTGGACAACAACTTTCCAAGTTGTGTCATAAATACACAACTTTGGTGGACAACAACTTTCCAAGTTGTGTCATAAATACACAACTTTACCAACAACAACCAAACAACCCCTAGAAAGGAAGGGAAGAGAGTTTCCTTCTCCTTGGTTATACCCCAATTTGGAAGGTAACAAATTTTATACTATTAGGGGGTGAACCAAGGAGAACTGGTGAATATCTTCACCTCCTAAATATTCCCAAACAAGTTGAATGGTGCCCCTAACTTTCCTTCACCCTTATTCCGCTCGGTCCAAACAAGCCCTTAATCCAAACATACACACTATTGTTGCTCATAACCGATATCTCATCAACAGCACATAATGTACGGACCCCCACCGTATAAAATCAGATAGCTACGAGCTCATTGTAGTCGTTACAGCAAACACACATCGGACAACAAAAATCCCCAAAATCTAACCATGGAACCCTCGCCGCCGCCGCCGGAGATCTCGGGCTCTAGACCAGAATCGTCATCATCATCGGTAGTAGAGCCCGAGCAAGGAGTAGAGGAGATGACTCTAACCGTGAAGTGGAGCGGCAAGGAGTTCACCGTTAGGGTTTGCGGCGACGACAACGTGGCCGAGCTCAAGCGCCGAATCTGCGAGGCGACGACCGTCCTCCCTAAGCGCCAAAAGCTTCTCTATCCGAAGATGGCGTCCAAGCTCGGCGACGATTCGGTCCTCCTCTCCCAGCTCAACCTCAAGCCCTCGGTCAAGATGACCATGATCGGGTCCGTTTCTCGAACCCTAACCCTAAACCGAAAAAATGTGTTTTTGTAGGGTTATTGTTTGAAGGTTTAATTGCGAGTAGACGCTCCCTGTAGTATCCTCACAAATAGAACTACAGGGGGTCTATCTCTCTTCTCAAAACTTTCTGACTCTTTTAAGGGCCTGTTTTGTTCATTTCCTTATAAAAAAAGAAAACACAAAACCATACTGAAATCTATTTATTTTAGAGGATTTCTGAGATTTGATTTTTTCAGTTTGCTTCGCTTTGAAATCATAGGATGTAAAGCATTGTTTTTCTTTTTTGTTTGTTTGTTTCAACATCCAAAAATCAAGAAATATGACCCCATTTCAGCCACTTTAGTCAGATCGGGTCTCGAAAATGCAAGACTAACAATATTTTATTTCTCATTTCCTTCATTTTCCTCCCATTTCAGCCACTTCGGGACTGGTATTTCTACAAATTCTGACGTGACACCCCATTTCAAAGCTCCATTTCTTTAAAACCCTCACTGAACCAAACACGTAGAAATCAAAAACCGATGTGGAGCTCTTGTCAGGTCACAAAAGCTCGATTTCCTGTTATTTTTTTTTGAGCAAACAAACAGCCCCTAAGAGTAAAAAGAATTCACGGGTTTGTTCGCAATAGGGTGACCCTACGAGGGTCTCTTAACAATTTAACCTCTCTTGGAAATATAGGTGCTTCATGTTGGGAATTGTCTCAAATATGCAATGCCTCTGTGATATTATTGGAAATATTTAAATTTGGGTGAGGGTTGAACAATTAGGAATTCTAGTTTTGAGGTAAACTGTCAAGGTCCAGTTAGCAGTTACGAACTATGGGAATGCTAATATCCATACCATTTGCAGTATGATGTGAAATTATTGTCCATTGTTTTTTTTATCCATGTGTCAACTGCTTAATTTTATATCTGTTTATAAAAATCAGATACACTTTGTGATATTCTCATTGAATATGTGTTTACCATATGTTGAATTATATTGTAGATCCTATCTAATGTTGTAATCTTCTCTCATGAGATAAGTAATGGAAAAAATAGCCCTTTTAGTTTTGATGGTTTATCACCTATTACACCGTCAAAGCAATCTCCTAACTCTAACCATTATTAATCATTTACTTTGTGTATTTATCAATTAAAATTAACACAATATGAAAAATAAACAGTATGTTTAAGTGCTTGTGGCGTTCAGCTTATGTGGAGCAGTAAATAGGTGACAAACTGATAGTTTATGGTTGAAACTTCATCATTAGATTAACAGACAGCGTTTCTTTCTATAGGACTATGAATATCTTGGAATATCAAGACCTCTTTAGGTAAAATTTGGATCAAACGAAATGTTTGTGTGAATGCATGTATATAGGGTGCATGAGTCTGCATGTACATATCTGGTATTTATGCATGTATACCCAGGTTGCATAGGTTAATTTCAATAAGACACTCCGTAATTTCTAATTTGACATTAAAAAAATTAAGCATGAATTTCTGGTAGAACAATGATGCAGAAAGATAAGTGCTGCTACTTATGTATACATGTATATGTTGCATATTGTGAGAATACTAGTTTCAACAAAAAAGACATGACAGAAGTTTGTGATTGGACTTGGACAGATGAAGAATATGCACTATTTTCAGGTAGCTCAAAACACAACAGCAAGATTACAGCTTGGATCATTTCATGGATTAACCCTTTGGGTAAAGCTGTAGGTAGAAACACGTAGAATGGGAGTGTTGAAGTAAATTGTGTGGAGAGAATGATGTGCAATAATACCTAAAAGATGGAGAACAAACTTAAAAGTACAAATATATTGCTCAAAAAGAAAGAGCTGGAGACTATTATTTGTGAAGTGGTTGGAAATGAGAATTAAAGACCTAGATAATTGTGAGGGAATTTTCTAAGCTTTGCTTCAATGAATTATCAAAGAATTACATGGAAATAAACAAGCAAATTATGCATCTTTTGAAACTGAGATTACTAGTCTGACACTATCAGCACCCATTCCAATTTAGATTCATCTGCCAATCCCATGACAAGCTGAAACTCATTCACAGCGTGATCATAAGTCTCGTGCGTGCATAGAAAGGCAAGTTTGCATCTTCCACAACCAGGTATCAATACCTCAATACCTTGTCATTTGTCCACTTAGTCTGCAATACATAATTATGCATGTGGCTGTTTTTAGGTGGTTCCATGGCCAGTGACTCAGTGATCCTAATCTCATGTTATTTTTTTCCTTTTTTTGGCTAAAAAGTTTATGTAAAATTTGAGGTTTTCACAAAATGTGTATTTAACTATTGGCTTGTTCTAGCATTATCTTAATCAAATATGATTTTATTTTTCTCAGATCATGGCTTAATATTTTTATATGTGGTCCTGCAGCACCATCGAGGATGATATAATTGTGGATCAAGTAGATTCACCAGAGGTCGTTGATGATTTTGAGCTCGGCCTAGACGAGGTTGTTGACATTAAAGATAAAGATGCTAACAAACAAAAATTGAGGCGACGCATCAGCCAGTATAAGGTTTTTTTTTTTTCTGAATTCATATAATGCATCCTTAGTTACATTATTATATCATGGTCAAGTAATCTGGAGTTTCTGGCAGCAAAACTTTCATAGTTCATAATACTTTCTTAGGTTAACAACTAAGAAGAGGTTATTTGAAGCACCATCATTTAGTAAAGCCCTGAACTTTCAAAAAGCCTATATGAGGTTTGCTCTCAGTGTATCATAAAGTGTGCTGAATTCTTAAACTTCAAGGGTTTCACCTTTGATATGCAAGTCCTGTCTGGCAGGGGTTATTCAGCTTGTATTTGTTTGCTTAGTTTTAGGTTTAGATAGAGAGCTCGTCAATGAACAAGACTTTTATATATTAGTTGTTTGTGTACTTCCAAGTTGCAGATGGATTTCTAACTTCCACTGTCATTCATGGTCTGGTTTCTAGAAAATAAAAATACATTAACTACTGAAGAGAACATTTGTTTTTGAGTCATCTTACATAGTTATGTATGAGATTTAATAACAAGAAAGTGGTTAGTCAAAAATCTTTCCTTCAAAAATTCACAATTATGTAATATTTCTAAGAATACTAAGTTTATTATCAAAAATCCTTCCTTTGACATCAAACAGACTCATCTACCCTCCAACGTTGGATGGTGGGAGCAATAATATGTCTGGTGTTTCTTCCATAAATAATCCGGATTTATGCTGTATATAAACAAATCATTGGTTCCAAGGGTCATTCACTGTGGAAAGACATTCCTCTAAGTGTATATGTGCGGAAAAACCTCACCCTAAATTTAGCCACCAAAAGGTTGTACCCCAATCTTACCTTACATCCAATATAGAAGTACTCAGAAATAAAAATAATTAGTAAAAATGAATATTTTATTTTGAGCTGTTTTTCCTACTGGAATAAGGGCAAGGGGATGTTATCAGTTTGTTAAGTCTGCTTGATATACATTGCTAGCCTATATTCAAGAGTTTATATTTCTGACTGAACTGTTTTATTGAACATGGTACCAAAGCAATAGAATCCAAAAAGAGCTTATTCAAACAGCACTATTAGCAATTTATAATACATTTGTTAAATTTATCCTTATTTATATTCTGTCTTTCCAATCCAGTCATGTTCATGCTCAAGGCTTTACCATGTATTCCAAAGGTCACTTTGTGTGAGTGAAGGGGGATTGTTAAATGTTATGTTTGCTTTATATACATTGTTAACCCACTGAATAGCAGAAAGTTCTTTGGTAGTTCGATTACTTTTTGAGAACATGATGAGGGTGCATTGAGTTTCCCCTTGATATTTGACTTTTATTAATATACTATCCTAAAACTGGGAAGGATGTTAAAACTCTTTTTTTTCCAAAATTGCCCTCAACAAGAATATCAATTGACTACAATAAATATCAATATGAATAGTCTAATTATGTAAAAAGATAACATAATTATTTTTTCTAGAAAGATGGGGATTAACATGATGTGTCACCCTTCATGTCCTACAATTAAAGCTCTCATTAACCTGCTCATCTCTTTATATTTTGGCTACCTACCTTCTTATATTTATTCTATAAGTTATGCATTAAGTATCATCATGGTAGCCAAGATTCAAATCACTATGTAAACACCACCCTCATTGCTCAACCTTTCATATAGAGTCCCTTAAAACTTTCATATTTTTATTGCCCAAGTCATTAAAAATTGCTACTAGAACCCTTTGTTCTCAAGTTATTTTGAAACTAGTCCCTCTAATCACTGAAATTGCTACAAGTCCCCAGTTCTTAAGTTATTTTGAAATTAGGTCATTCAATCAAATGTAGAAGTGCTAAATTAGAGAGAAATTAGTCCATCCGATCATCAAAATTTATATTAGGTTCCTAATTCTGGTAAGTTGTTTCAAAGTAATCCCTCTAATTGCAAATTCAACTATTGATTCGAGTGACTAATTTGAAAACCACTTAAATAAAAATTAAGGGCTCTAATTGCAATTCCAATGATTTGGGGGACTAATTTTAAAATAGCTTAAGAATTGGAGGGGTCTAATTGCAATATCAATTATTTGAGGGATTGCTATTACAATATGAAAGATTATGGGACTAATATCAAAAAAGCGATGGTAATATCATGATTAAGAATTTTGTGAAGTGTGCAATATTCCTAATTGATAGAATCCCTGCTCACTCCTTACGATAAACCCATGTTTGGTATCCAGTTCAACGTTCGCCAATGTTAAAACTTAAAAGTTTGCCTCTATGTGAAAAAGTAAACTTTAACTAAAGTGAGGGGGTAAGATAAAAAGGGGTGAAAAGTTTACACTTGGTTTATTTAGCCATGTGGATTACGAACAACCCCAAAAAAGATTTCAAAACTTGCAAAATAGCCGCTTAAAATCCAAAAAAACATCTATCCCCTATCAAATAGAAAGTACAAACACCCCCCTGAACAATTCTGAAACTAAAAAGATACCCTCAAAATTTTAAAAATTAAAATTATAAACTCACAATAATACCCAAACAAATTCAAAACCTGCAAACTAACACTGAAAAGTTTTTAGAATTTACAGGAGACATCCTAGGAGTTTTGAAAATTGCAAAGAAAAAAACCACTAAAAATAAAAAATTAAAATTTTTTATAAAAAACACTCTAAAATTTAAAACCTATAAGAAGTAAACTAAAAACTATGAATTACGAATAGCCCCTGAGAAGTTTGAAATTTGCAGAAAACACGCTGAAAGTTTTGTAAATTGCAAACAATATCCTCAAAATAAAAATTAGAGTTTTAATGAGAATAAATTTATGTAGTTTTAATGCAAATAAAATTAGAGTTTTAATGAAAATATTATTTTCCAGTCAAAAATGATAAAATCGAGAAAATCCTTGAAATAAGATAATTAATAAAAAAAAATTCAAAAGTTCAACGATAAGCATGTAGTGGTTGTTAACCGAGAAAAAGAATATACCATCAAATACATTTACATGTACATAAATGCAGAAACTAGAGAAACAGATCATAATACATGTCTTGATCTGTTAACTCATATATGAGTTTCTATTCTTATATATGCTTCACATATTTTCCATATATATAAAATATGCCATCCCAATAGACTTATTGCATATTAACCTGAACTTTTGATCACTGCTCATGTAAGCTCTCATTTGATCAAAATTTATGTCTATACTACATTCCCATCAGAGGAATATGTTTCTCTAATCTCATATTATGTGCATAAATCTTTCTATTGGTCGACTCTTCTATATTAAAATTGAGAGAATAAGATTTTCTTTCATGTATCAAAATTTATGTATATACTACTTGCCCATCCAAGGAATATCCTTCTCTGATCTCATATTATGTGTATTAAGATTTTTCTTTTGGTTAATTATGCTATATTGAAATTGAGGGGAAAAGAACCTAATAAGAAGTAAATACTTAGGTTTAGTAAGTCTGATGCAAAATGATCATCTCTATGTCATGACTTTTATATTAAAAATATGTAGGTTTTATTGTTATATTACAGAGTCATTACGTATTTCCTTTAATGAATGAAATTATTGATTAATTACCAAACTGTCTTCGTCATCTTATTTTTATCATGTTTTATATTGTTACTCGCTTTTTTTCTATTATTTCCATATACTAAATAGATTACATGATTGAAATATATGATAAAAAATTATATTATATCATTTAAAATGCACAATGTAGTAATGAGATTATTCCACTATATTAAAAAATTATAATTTTCATACATAGTCATTGACATTTAATGTATGTACTTACAACATGTTAAATAAACATATTCACTATTTAAGTATATTGTCCATTATTAATAAAAATTATTAAACTATAAAAAACATATTATTGTTCATAATCTAAATTTTTTTTCCTATCATATGCATAAACCGCAATATTACGAATAATATTTCTGAATATATCTAAAGAAATATGAACAACCAAACTATGTTTAACAAGCTGAAGGTTTACATCAAGAGCAACAGAAAGACATAGTTCATGTCGTTCACAATTTATAATAATTAAAATCAAAATTTTAATGTTAATAAGTTTTAATTATGTTATTAAATATTATTCATAGTATTTAGGTATAATAATAAAATTTTAAATTAATGTTACTTACAATTATTATCAAATTCGAGGATTGCTCAAACTGTTTACATACTTTTATATGCAAACATTTAAAACTTTCTGCAAGTACTTACAATCAAGGTTTATTTTTCCCAATCAACTTATAATTTTCTAAAAAAAGGGTAAATAAATTGATGACAATAAGAATTTATATATTCATTCAACCAAAATTTTATCCATGATCGGCCCTAGAAGTCAACAACAGCTAAACAGTCGATCCATCTTCCACCCTGATTTGCATGTATTTACAAAATTGTTTTTACTCATTTCACTTTTAAAACTATGAACTATTTATTTTAAGTAACCACTTAAAACTTCTTTTAAACACTTTACTTTAAGTCTTTATTTCCTTCGAGTTACCTACTCATTTCCTTGTCCACGAAACATATTCAGAACATAAAAGATGTATATCCACATGCAATGCACGTACACCATACTAGTCAGGGTAAAAGTGGTTGCTTGCCTTCGCAAGTCTTGTCCAATGAAGAATAGTTCTACTTGGGAGATCTTGTTATCTTGTCTATCAACTAACTGATGGATGGATGATAGTCAATATGAGAAGAATAAATTACCTTTTCTATGACATCCTTTAATCAAGATTCTGCTAATCAGCCGGAGTAAGCAGGCGGAATTAAAACTTTCTGGTGATAATATGGTTGTTTATTTGGGTGCAAGAATATGTTTCCTTTCATATTGAGAATAATGATGTGTCTTGCATTTTTCTAATTCTTAGATCAGGAAACTGAACGACTGTCGTGAAGGAAAGAAGCTGCTCGTTTTGGATATTGATTATACTCTATTCGACCATAGATCCCCAGCCGAGAACCCACTTGAACTCATGCGACCTTGTAAGTAAATTGATATTTATTTTGCAGTAGTCTATATTTTACACTATATTGAAATTTTAGTACTTTATGCAGATCTTCATGAATTTTTGTCTGCTGTCTATGTAGAGTATGATATTATGATATGGTCTGCAACCAGGTAACATTTATGTTATATATTTCGGCTTAGTTGCACCTTAATACCCTATAAGTTGCCCTACTTTGCATTTATATACCCTCACTTTTTTTCATCCCTTATATACCCTAAAGTTATTAAAATTTACACTTATCGGTTATGCAAACATGACCCCTCCCCCCAAATAAAATAAAATAAAATAAAATAAAATAAAAGATGATGCTACTTGGGTACTTCTATTATGAAGCCTTAACCGTATCTGACATGTATTCGTAACAAAACTTCATGGACACTCCTTGGATATAAGCAAACATTTATTGAGACGTATACTCAATTACATTGAAATGTTTTAATTAAAAAAACTTGTCATACACTTCTTGGACATATATCCTACACTTCATATCCATCTATTGTAACTTGTTAGACATTGGTCGGGTTTGTTTCTGGCAATACTCAAGTTCAACAATGCGATTTAAAAGTGTCAATTGAGCGTCTAGTTAAAAAATAAGCAGTTTTCACTTTATAATAATCAACATAATAAAAGAAACTTAAAATAAATATTTTAAATTTAATAACATTATATAGTATATATATTATATTATATATATATATATTATATATAATATGATATATATATAATATATATATATATATATATAGTATATATATATGGAGGCATACTCCTATGCTAACTTAAGTGATAGGGGAAATAGTTGTCGCACCAAAGCATTGTTTAGGCGGCAGCGGTGCATGATTATTAATATAAAAGTCTCGTTCATAGTCATGGCAAGGATCCCGCTAGGGTAAAGACGCCGTGGATAAAAAGTTTGGTGGATAAGCTATTTCCTATGCCACTTAAAGTGTGATAGGGACGTTTTCATATAGTATTATATAGTATAGTCATAGTATAGTATAGTATATATATGATAGTATAGTAGGAGGAGAGGAGGAGAGAGAGAGAGAGAGATTGGGAATGGGGTACTTGTGCATAGGAGGTGGATTTCCTCCTATGACGGCCGTCTAAAAATCAGCATGAATTGAGGCGACAATGGTGGTGGATGGTCGGCTCCGTTGAACTATGAAGTCTACATATTCTATAAGCCGCGCAACAGCTACGGCAAGTTTGGGGTGAAGCGCCGGTCGGGTCGTTTGACGTTCAGTTGCGGCGCATCTGATTGGCATTGTTAGACGGTGTGTGGTGAATGAATAAGAGCTTGCGACCGCGCAGGGTTGGGCGTGAGGTGGGAGGTGCAGAAAGCGACGAGGCATTCACCCCAAACTGTGGTGTGTTGGGATTTAGATATGTGAAGATGCAAGTGGTCAACGAGGCGGATCGCATCCATAATATGGCGGCTTAATGGCATGTGATGTTTAGAGGGGCGTCAAGGAGGAAATCGCGCGCTCCTGATGACAGGATACCCATGTAATCTGCATATGAGTATGACAGAGGATAAGGCCGGGCATTAATGCGTGCATATATATGGATATATATATATAATTATATTATGATATATATATATATATATAATATATAATATAGGTATATGAGGGGGTTTTGGGGGGTGGGGGGGAGGTGAAGTTATGGGTAATCATTGAGGGGGCCGAAGGACCAAGTTTTTGATCCTTTGGGCAGTAAAGTGCTCATTTTCCGTCCACGTGCAATTTAAAGGAAGGGAGCCATTTTTCAAAGTGGCGACTAGTGGTCGAAATAAGTGGATGTAGAAATGAGTCACTGGGTCAGCCTGCGAAGGGGAACAAACGTTATCGGGCTGGTGGTGCTGGGAAGTGAATACTGCGATTTAGTCAAATTTTGTTGTATTTGGCGTAGGCGTCACTAGCCATGCCGGGTATAGATGGCTTGTTCTGCGATGCAGCTTATTGGAGCTGTAAATTCCCAATGGGATAGCACACATGGCAAATGTTAGGAGTGGCAGTTTTAATAGGGTGATAATAATGTTGTTATATTTTCTGAATGTCAGGGGGAGCCTATTAAGAGGGCGCTATTTTAAAAATGTAGAATTATTGTGGGGAGTTTAGGAAAGTGAACTGGCGGGGTAGGGGGTTTCAAAGTAATTTAATAAAAATTAAGGGTAAAGAAGTTTTAGAAATTAGCGATGTGAAATGATACATAAGAATTTTTGGGAGAAAGGTTCACAGGCGCAGCGTTGCAGATAGACTGAGGGAATAGTCATAGTAGTATATATGATAGTATATATGTATGAGGTAGGGTATGATAGGTATTATGTATATAGGTAGGGTGATAATAGTATATGATAGGTATGAGGATTGGATGAGTATCGCTGGTGGTCATGAGGGGAAGGGGGATTTCCCTGCATTGACGGTCGTGCTGAAATCACATGATTGGAACGACATTAATGGGATGGATGTCCGCTCCGTTGGAACTTGATGCTAGGATATCTAAAGACCGCCAAACACGGTCGGGGTGGGCGGCGAAGAGTGTGGGTGAAGCGCGTCGTGGGGGTGGGTTGAGGGGGGGCCCCGCTTGGGTCGATGGGCGCACGATGCGGTGATGTAATGTTAGACGGTTGGTGTGAATGAATAGAGAGCGGTGTCAGCGAGTGGCGTCGAGGTGGAGGGGTGGCAAGGAGCGAGGAGCGAGTTGGCGAACGCGCAAAGTTGGTGGTGTGTGTGGGGTTTTGTGAGAATATGTAGATAAAAAGTTTAACGGAGGCGGATCATCCAGGCAATGTCGCTCAAACATCATGTGATTTTAGAGGCGTCAAAGGAGAAAATCTCTTCGGCGTATGAGCAAGGATACCCATGGGGTAATGATCGTCTCTCTCTCTGACTCTCTATATATAATATATATATATATATATATATATAGGTGAGGGTATAGTATAATATATGATATATATAGTATATATATGCAGATTTATGGGTGATCCTTGTCATGAGGAGGGGGAGTGTCATGCCTTGACGCATCTAAAATCAGCATAGATTGAGCGACAGTTGTGGATGAATCCGCTCCGTTGAACTGATCTTAGCATATTAGTAAACGCCCGAACCCAGCAGCCAAAGGTGGTTGGGTGGGGATGCCGCCGCGCGTCGGTCGTTTGTGCAGCGCCTTTCGAGGTCAGCGATCGTTGGATCGGAAGTTGTGAGGCGCGAGTGGGGAAGGGGATGTGCACGCCAGAACTTGGTGTGGGGTTAGGTTTTAGAATATGGGTAGGAAGTCAAGTTGGCAGAGGCGGGGAGCGGATCATGGCCGGAATGTGGCGGCTCAGTCATGTGATTTTAGTAGGGCGTCACAGCGATGAATCCGGCTCCTATGACGAATGATACCCATTGAATGCTGCTCTCTGCTGACTCCTCTCTCTATATTATGATATATGATATATATATGAGATATAATGGAGGTGAGGGCTGGCAGCTGCACATTGCTCGCCCATGAGCTACAAGTATATGACATTGTGAGCGCCTACACCGATGTGGACTAGTAGCGGCTCACGAGTGTCATGACACTTGCAGCTTGGCACGAGGTTGGGGGGAAGGGAGAGGGGTTGGCGTTGAGGCCTGGCCGAGACGGATCGGACCTGCCATTATGTCTCTCGTCTCTTATATATGAGTATGGATAGGTAGGTGAGTATAGGGGTGAGTAGTATATAGGTAGTATGGTATCATATGTATGGGGTATAGACAGTGGTACAGGTATCGTAGTGTCTATATATATAATATATATATAGTAGTATGGGTATAGTATAGTAGTAGTATATAGTAGGCGAATAGTGGGTATGGGTAGCGATATGTATGTATGACATGTAAGCATATGTATGTTATATATATAGGTGATATATATATATATATATATATAGTATGATATAGGTATATAGGTAGTATATATATATATATATAGTAGTAGTAGTACGGCATAACAGAGGATATTTAAGTGCAATTTTTTATAACTTTAGAGTTTGTAAGTGCTGCTAAATACGCGTGGGGTTATATAAGTGCAAAGTAGGGTAATCTATAGGATTTCTTTTCTTTTTTAGAAGAACTATAGGGTATTTAAGTGAAATTAATCTTTTGTTTTCTAACTGCATTCATGCTTTCATGTGATTGGTCCCATCTTACTTAATTGTTATTTGATTTTTAGCATGAAATGGGTAGAACTAAAGATGGGACAGCTTGGGGTTCTGGATAATCCTAACTACAAAATAACGGCTCTTTTAGATCATTTAGCCATGATCACCGTACAGTCTGATAAACACGGGACCTTTGAGTGCAAGCCACTTGGCCTTATTTGGGCTTATTTTCCTGAGGTTAGATCTAAATTAAACATTCATTTTATATTTTATTATACAAGCACACAAAGATCGACATACTTTCTTCTGTAATTCTGCAGTTCTACAATGAAGGGAATACCATCATGTTTGATGATCTTAAAAGGAATTTCGTAATGAATCCACAAAATGGGCTCACGATTAGACCTTTCAGGAAAGCCCATTTGAATCGTAACAGTGATCAGGAGCTGGTCAAACTCACTCGGTATTTGCTAGCTATTGCTGAGCTCCCTGATCTGAGCTCACTTGATCACAGGATCTGGGAACGCTTTATAGAAGATAGCACTAAGAGACGCAGACACAGGTTAGTGCCCTGCATATGAAGGGATGATCATGATTAAGTTGGCAATCACTCTCATGTTGATGTAATTTTATTTTATTTTATTTATTTATTTTTTATTTTTTTGCTTTTGCAGTTAAAAACTGTGTGGTTATAGGATATCTCAGCGCTTATGCATCAAACGCTGATAAATTATTGATCACTCATCACAGGTTACTTCCTCTATTTAAATTCTCTAGTCCTGGATTTATATTTCCGTCTATGTATCTCCTTGGATCAAGATATTGTTTTTCCTACTCTGAGATACACCTCTCTTCCTTTGAATTATTATGTCGTCTTTTTACCTTTTTTTCCCCAAGGCAAGTAATATTGTTTGCATATAGTCTGCATTCTTTGTATCTTTTTTGCTATGAGTGAGAGTTTTTTTGGATATAAGTAGAATTTTAATATAGATAATGGAAGTTCTTTAACGGAACCACAGTGATGTGAGGAAAAGTTTTTTTGATGCCATGCTGTAGGGATGCAAAAGGATGTTTAAATTTGCAGATATGTATCAGATACTAATATGAATACTATGTGTTATGTATTTAGCAGGATGTTGATACGGATACAATATTTATATCTAAATAAAAGGTATGGAGGTAAGTACAATATCAATATTTTTATCTATATATCTCCAAATATGCGTTGAACAGTATTTGAAATTGTAACGACCTTAAATTAATGGCTCTGAACTCAATTCTGAAGATCCATCAAACCCTAAGTTTTAGATGTGTTGAATATATTGATGAAGGCTAATTTGAGAAATTTTGTTTTCTCTAGCTATGTTTTTTGTAACACATGGTCTGTATATTTTCCAATTAATTTGTTGTCTCGTATCCACTTTTGTATTCATATACGTGATTTGTCTGATCTGTTCATATTTATTCAGGCTGCAATCCCAGTGTAGCAATTAGTCTTCTATATTCATTGTCTTCTGAATCCCTTGGGTGTTTCTTCACTCCTCACTAGCAGCTGAGGTTGCTCCGCACTCGGTACAAGTTTTTTTGGTTGAGAAGGGAGAACCCATAGATATAAATAAACGCACTGCTTAAACTAGATGGGGCTTAAATCAAGTGGGAACTTTCTTAGTTGGAGAGATTAAATATGAAAACGTCAAAGATTTAAGGAATTTTTATGTAAGTATATAGATTTAGATCTAAGTGACTAGTATTATTGGAGTGAACAGTCGTCAACATTTGTGTACGGACTCCATGCTGCATCTGTGTACTAGTAGCATTAGAGCAAGGACAGCAAGCTCCTTGCACCCCTTCTCAAGGCCTACGTGGCGGTGGGAGCTCTTAAACCCCCCTCCAACAAACTCTCAGCAAGCTCCCAAGGGGCTCCCTGGGCTGATGTGGCCAATGGGGCCCACCGGAGCTCTTGGGAGCTCCCAAGCGCTCCACAAATTTGTGGAGTGCTTGGGAGCTCCCAAGCATTAAATTTTTTTTTTTTTCAAAAACCTCCCTACTTTTAAACCCAAGCTTTAAAGAAATATTTTTTTTACGAAAAAGTCTTTGGCCTTTGTATCTTTGCAATAGAAGTGAAGTTTTTTTGATAGAAGAGGGGTTTTTTTGATATTGTTGGAGCTCCTAACTTGGAGCTTGTTGGAGCTCCATAAAATAAGAAGGTGCTCCCAAGACTTATTTTTATAATTTTTTATTTTAAAATGCTTGAGAGCTCTTGAGAGCTTGCTGACTTACTGCATTAATCCATATTCATCGAGTCAATGGTTGAGAACGTCCCCACTTTGCGGGATCTTCCGGTAGGATCTGAACTCGTTTTAACTGTATTTCTTGTTTCTTTGTCATTGTTGATCTTATGGCTCTTCTAAGCATGTATTCTTTTATTACTAAAAAGAAAGTGAAAATGACTTATTACTCGTGGATATCTGTCGTGCATTTACTACAAACATTCTCAATCAATTCTGTCTGAAATTAACTTACTTTTGAATAAAGGGATTTTTTTTATCAACCCACCACCAGTGATAAGTTTCAATATGGCTCCAATGATCTCGGGTTCGTCCCGGGTTGGGTTACCGGAAAATAAAAAATAAATAAAAATAAAAAATTATATCAGATGCATCACGGGAAAAATTCCAAGTAACATCTATATTCCGCATAAAGACAGATTGATTTAACCCTTTGAATACAAATTCCAGGAGATGCACAAAGAAAAGGTGACTGATGGTAGCACTCAGGGTAAAAAGCAAAAAATACTTGCTGAGCCCAAAAGAGAAAGAAAAAGAAAAAGAAAAAGATTCCACTCAAAAATGTCTATTTGTCTAAATGAAATAGAGGGGTAATAAGTTCAAAATGCCATAGTACATAAATAATTTCTAGAAAACTTAAAGCTAATTATATCTTAATAGTTTTGGAGCTATATTTACCGTTGCTAATTTGCCCATTACACGTTTCTGCGTGTTTATATGTTTTAAAGGGAGCATTTATTAAGTTATACTTTACATGACTTTGCACTTATATACTATATATCTTTTAAGTTTGACATTAAAATATCGTATTTTTTATAGCATGATTACTATTTTCTGTTAACCAAATCGTTAGATTATTCACCCAGATATTTCCATGAGACTTTCACGAGTCCTAAAGTTGTCTGAATCAACCATCTCCTAAAGTAGCACTTCAAACATGCAACATAATAACAAGAATAGTTTAGTTGATTCTGGTCCTTTTAAGGGTATAAAGGGCCAGATTTTAACTTGGAGAAGTCACATGAGAATATTCGGGGAATGTTCTAATCGTTTTCGAAATAACGGGGTACTTAAATGTCAAAACTAAAATATAGGACATAGAAGTGCAAAGTCATGTAATGTTTAGAAAATTCAAGACATACAGTTTTGCTGCAAAGTCTTTCTATTTAAGTTTTTATCATGACGATTCTTGCTCATATATTCCAATTAAATCCTATAAGCATCATCCCAGATTATTTGTTTCTTCTTGAAAATATTATTCGTTTGCTGTCTTTTTGGTTTTGGAGAATGTTGGTACTTTTATGTGCTTATAGGCTCAAACACATACTCATCTTGAATTTTGTGTTCAAGTCTGAAAACTAAGAAAGCACCAAATAAATAATTTAATTATCTAAATCTTATCTAAAATGAAACCAGAGAAAAAAATATTTACTCAATAAAGTTTTTGGTAACAGTTTCAAGATGAAACCATACTTACACTGCATGCTTTGTTGAAAATAGGGTATACTTTGGAGGGTGCTTGGGGATAGTTATATTTAGCAAGTCTTGGGGGGTCAAAAGCTGTTCCTGTCAGCAGGATTGAACCGCCCTCAAAAGCTAAACGTGATCGTTTGGTTCGAAGTAAAATGAGGAAAAGAAAAAAAGAAAAGAAAACGAAAAGAAAATGGAAGTGAAATGAGTTTCTTTCTTATGTTTGGTTATTAAAGAAAATTGAAAAAAAATCTAGAGGAAAACAAACAATATTATTTTCTTTATTATTTGATTGCCCAATGACAACTAACAAGTAAATACATTTAATTTGTATTCGATATTGATTTATATTTTCACAAAATATTTCATTGTAAACAGTATAGAGTATGACTTGCTAACTTGTAAGCTTTATACTCCACGTAATTAGCTCCCCTAATTCTTATAGATTGTTTCAAATTATTTCCCCCAATTAAAAGTAGAAGTAGCAGTGGGTTTAGTTTGAAAGTATATGAGAATTGGGGTCTTAACAACGAATGCAGTGATGGACTTTCGAAATAGGAAAAATGAAAGGACCAATGTGGAAAAGGTAATTTGTTTCAAAAATTATTTTTTTAAACTCGCGCCAGCCAGTAGATTGCCCTTTCTGATCCATTTTAGTAACATGTGGGGCCCACGTGGCATTAGCAAGAAGCAGGAGAAACAGGTTGCGAAGATTAGCTGAGGAGGGCATCTTCCAGGTTCGGCCCCAGCACTTTTTTCACTCACTTTCTGTAGGTTCCGATGGAGAAAAGAGAAAAGAAAGTTTTTAGGGAAAAATGTGTCCAGACCCTAAAAGTGGAAACTTCTTGTGACTAGTCCCCTTGTACTTTGCCCCATATGTATAAGCCCCAAAAAGTGAGCTTTAATGTTTTAAACCCCCTCCACGTCAGCATTATACTAAAAGCAGAATGTATTTTGGAAAAAAGCTGAAACTGCCATTCTCTTTCTTCCCCGGACGAGGCCTAGTCCGAACAACAGAAGTCACTTCTCATTTAATGCGATATGATGGAAAAAATGAAGGGAAATTTCCCTTTTTTTTTACTCCATCATGAGCAATAACTATTTAGTTCTCCATTACTCCTCCTCAGACCAAAATTCTCGCCATTACTCTCTCCATTACTCTTATCATCCCTTCAAAATGGCTAAAAAGGACATCATCTGCATTGTCTCTTCACGGTATAAAGCGGTATTCTTGAAGATTAATTCTTCAACCACCATCTTGGATCTCAAGTTTGATGTGGCAGAGAGGTTAGATCTTCCATATGAGTCATTAATTTTGGCATACGAAGATGAAACAGTTGGAAGCTTAAAATTTTCCATTGAGAACGATGGCGATCTGACGTCTATGGTGGAGCATTGCCACAATCTTGGACTGAAAGAGGTTCACATGCAAGCTTTTAAAGAAGGAGATGATTCTTCGAATAAACAAGAAAACGAGCAAGTCCGACAAGACATGTTAGTTGTAATCTTGGTTCTGTTAGTTGTAAGCTTGGTATAATTTAGAACTTCAGTTCTAATTCGATCGTATGTTAGTTGTAATCTTAGTTCTGTTAGTTCTAATTCGATCGTATCTTATGTTAGTTGTAATCTGCCTAGTCCCGAACAACAGTTCTAATTCGATCGTATCTTATCGTTAAGCAGTTCTTTATTATGCTCCATGCGTTAGTTTTAATGGTTTCTTTGTCAGTTCTAATCCCTATTTTGTTAGTTCTAGATTTATTGCTAGTTCTACCCTAGTTCCATACGCAGCTTCCATACGCTGCAAGCGCTGCAAAGGTAGTTAGTTCTGATTTATGTCTTGTTAGTCCTAATAGTTATATTGTTAGTTCTAATTGTTATATTGTTAGTCCTAACTGTTATATCCTATTTTGTTAGTTCTAGATTTATTGCTAGTTCTACCCTAGTTCCATACGCAGCTTCCATACGCTGCAAGCGCTGCAAAGGTAGTTAGTTCTGATTTATGTCTTGTTAGTCCTAATAGTTATATTGTTAGTTCTAATTGTTATATTGTTAGTCCTAACTGTTATATATTGTTAGTTCTTGCTGGTTCTAATTGAATGTAACTACAAGCAGTTATCTTTTTTGCTTTTTAGCTTTTGGTATTATCTGTTGATACTTCTACTATTTGTGTAGTTTATGATAAATTATGTTCTTAATATTTGTAGTGCTTCCAGCAGTTTGAACTCAAAAAATATAGACTGTGGCCCATCAGCATTGTGGACCACAAGTTTTCCAGATAAGAATCCCAATGATAATCCTTCCGAAGATGATGTCATGACGATTGATGGCATGATTAACAGATCAGAGAGGGTTCCCCTTGCTATACTATTCCATGGCAAAAAAATTCGAATACGAGTTTGGGAAGAATGAACCGAAGCGTATTCGAGTGTTTTGTCGGTTTAAGGAAGCAAAAAATTGCCCGTGGATGTTATTTGCCTCTCCACCGAAAAATGATAATAGACTTGAAATCAAAAGGTTTGTGGACAATCACAGTTGTGGGTAGCATGGCAATAATGCTGGTCAATCTAGAGCCTCAAGGCGATTCATTGCTACCCAATTACAACCCACGTTAAAGGTTCGACCGGATATACGGCCTATTGACGTTCAAAAGGAGTTTCTAAGCTCGTATGGGATTAGGGTCGATTATAGTAAGATTTGGTGGGGTAAAGAAAGAGCACAAGAGAAATTATATGGTGATGCCCATGAGTCCTACGATCAATTACGATGGTAAATAGAAGATGATATATAACAAAAGACAAACTAATTTCCTTTATGTGACGTTGATTATACTAATTTTTCAATGTTGGTACTAACGCTTAATCTTCAATTTTCTAGGTATGTAGAAGAGGTCAAGAAGACAAACCCAGGTAGCTATATTCATGTTGAACAAAATGAGGGGAGGTTTACAAGGTTATTCATATGCTACGCCGCCTGCATAAATGGTTTTTTATACGGCTGTAGACCACTCTTATTTTTGGATGGTACCTTTCTTAAAGATCGATTCAAAGGCATACTCCTAAGCGCCGTAGCATATGATGGAAATCAGGGGATATTTCCATTGGCGTATTGTATATGCGATCAGGAAAATAATGTTAACTGGAAGTGGTTCTTACAAGGTTAGTTCTATCCCTAGCCATGTTAGTTCTGTTGCAGGTTATGATAATTCTAGCTCATTCATTGCTAACTCTAATTCGTGTATGGTAACCACAACTCTTTGTAGGTTTGTGGTCTATTCTCTATGAAAGGCCAGATCCATACAACCCTCCACACAAGCTAGTGATAATTTCAGATGCGGATAAGGGGATCAGAGAAGCAGTTAGAGAATTTTTTCCAGATTCTATACACTCTCGATGTGTGTTGCATCTAGTTGAGAACTTCAGGACAAAGTTGAAGGATTTGGGATTCAAATCAAAAGATACTCAGATCTTGGGTAATCTATTGCAATCTGCCTGTTACAAATATACTAGAGCAGAATGGAACGATTACATGGACGACATTAGACTGGTTGACGAAAGAGCTTACAATATTGTGATGAACTACGCTCCAGAAAACTGGGCCAATGCGTTTTTTCCTGGAGTTAGGTAAGTTATAAGCTATTTCATTACATGACTATTATAAGCCGCTTGACGAATTCCCTATTATGTTTCAGATATGGTCACGTTACATCAAATGTTGCAGAGTCATTCAACAAATGGATACATGAGGCTAGGCTACTACGGATACTTCAACTGGTAGAGCACATACGTAAACAGATTATGGTTCGTATGAATGAGCGACGAACCATGGCTGAAAGCTGGAATCAATTTCTTTGCCCCAAAGCTGAACTTGCTCTCAAAGAGAACATGGAAAATGGCCGTCCATTGGAGGTTCGTCAGTCCCACACAGGATTATTTGAGGTACAATCCCATAGATCTTGTCAAGTGGATCTAGACAATAAAACATGCACTTGCCGTGGGTGGGATGTAACCCGTGTCCCTTGCAAACATGCATGCGCATCCATTATGTTTATGAAAAGGGATGTCTACCAGTTCTGTGACTGGTTTATGACGGTTGAAGCCTTTAAAAAAAGCTAGAAATTAACTTACTTTTGAATAAAGGGATTTTTTTTATCAACCCACCACCAGTGATAAGTTTCAATATGGCTCCAATGATCTCGGGTTCGTCCCGGGTTGGGTTACCGGAAAATAAAAAATAAATAAAAATAAAAAATTATATCAGATGCATCACGGGAAAAATTCCAAGTAACATCTATATTCCGCATAAAGACAGATTGATTTAACCCTTTGAATACAAATTCCAGGAGATGCACAAAGAAAAGGTGACTGATGGTAGCACTCAGGGTAAAAAGCAAAAAATACTTGCTGAGCCCAAAAGAGAAAGAAAAAGAAAAAGAAAAAGATTCCACTCAAAAATGTCTATTTGTCTAAATGAAATAGAGGGGTAATAAGTTCAAAATGCCATAGTACATAAATAATTTCTAGAAAACTTAAAGCTAATTATATCTTAATAGTTTTGGAGCTATATTTACCGTTGCTAATTTGCCCATTACACGTTTCTGCGTGTTTATATGTTTTAAAGGGAGCATTTATTAAGTTATACTTTACATGACTTTGCACTTATATACTATATATCTTTTAAGTTTGACATTAAAATATCGTATTTTTTATAGCATGATTACTATTTTCTGTTAACCAAATCGTTAGATTATTCACCCAGATATTTCCATGAGACTTTCACGAGTCCTAAAGTTGTCTGAATCAACCATCTCCTAAAGTAGCACTTCAAACATGCAACATAATAACAAGAATAGTTTAGTTGATTCTGGTCCTTTTAAGGGTATAAAGGGCCAGATTTTAACTTGGAGAAGTCACATGAGAATATTCGGGGAATGTTCTAATCGTTTTCGAAATAACGGGGTACTTAAATGTCAAAACTAAAATATAGGACATAGAAGTGCAAAGTCATGTAATGTTTAGAAAATTCAAGACATACAGTTTTGCTGCAAAGTCTTTCTATTTAAGTTTTTATCATGACGATTCTTGCTCATATATTCCAATTAAATCCTATAAGCATCATCCCAGATTATTTGTTTCTTCTTGAAAATATTATTCGTTTGCTGTCTTTTTGGTTTTGGAGAATGTTGGTACTTTTATGTGCTTATAGGCTCAAACACATACTCATCTTGAATTTTGTGTTCAAGTCTGAAAACTAAGAAAGCACCAAATAAATAATTTAATTATCTAAATCTTATCTAAAATGAAACCAGAGAAAAAAATATTTACTCAATAAAGTTTTTGGTAACAGTTTCAAGATGAAACCATACTTACACTGCATGCTTTGTTGAAAATAGGGTATACTTTGGAGGGTGCTTGGGGATAGTTATATTTAGCAAGTCTTGGGGGGTCAAAAGCTGTTCCTGTCAGCAGGATTGAACCGCCCTCAAAAGCTAAACGTGATCGTTTGGTTCGAAGTAAAATGAGGAAAAGAAAAAAAGAAAAGAAAACGAAAAGAAAATGGAAGTGAAATGAGTTTCTTTCTTATGTTTGGTTATTAAAGAAAATTGAAAAAAAATCTAGAGGAAAACAAACAATATTATTTTCTTTATTATTTGATTGCCCAATGACAACTAACAAGTAAATACATTTAATTTGTATTCGATATTGATTTATATTTTCACAAAATATTTCATTGTAAACAGTATAGAGTATGACTTGCTAACTTGTAAGCTTTATACTCCACGTAATTAGCTCCCCTAATTCTTATAGATTGTTTCAAATTATTTCCCCCAATTAAAAGTAGAAGTAGCAGTGGGTTTAGTTTGAAAGTATATGAGAATTGGGGTCTTAACAACGAATGCAGTGATGGACTTTCGAAATAGGAAAAATGAAAGGACCAATGTGGAAAAGGTAATTTGTTTCAAAAATTATTTTTTTAAACTCGCGCCAGCCAGTAGATTGCCCTTTCTGATCCATTTTAGTAACATGTGGGGCCCACGTGGCATTAGCAAGAAGCAGGAGAAACAGGTTGCGAAGATTAGCTGAGGAGGGCATCTTCCAGGTTCGGCCCCAGCACTTTTTTCACTCACTTTCTGTAGGTTCCGATGGAGAAAAGAGAAAAGAAAGTTTTTAGGGAAAAATGTGTCCAGACCCTAAAAGTGGAAACTTCTTGTGACTAGTCCCCTTGTACTTTGCCCCATATGTATAAGCCCCAAAAAGTGAGCTTTAATGTTTTAAACCCCCTCCACGTCAGCATTATACTAAAAGCAGAATGTATTTTGGAAAAAAGCTGAAACTGCCATTCTCTTTCTTCCCCGGACGAGGCCTAGTCCGAACAACAGAAGTCACTTCTCATTTAATGCGATATGATGGAAAAAATGAAGGGAAATTTCCCTTTTTTTTTACTCCATCATGAGCAATAACTATTTAGTTCTCCATTACTCCTCCTCAGACCAAAATTCTCGCCATTACTCTCTCCATTACTCTTATCATCCCTTCAAAATGGCTAAAAAGGACATCATCTGCATTGTCTCTTCACGGTATAAAGCGGTATTCTTGAAGATTAATTCTTCAACCACCATCTTGGATCTCAAGTTTGATGTGGCAGAGATGTTAGATCTTCCATATGAATCATTAATTTTGACATACGAAGATGAAACGATTGGAAGCTTAAAATTTCCTGAGAACGATGGCGATCTGACGTCTATGGTGGAGCATTGCCACAATCTTGGACTGAAAGAGGTTCACATGCAAGCTTTTAAAGAAGGAGATGATTCTTCGAATAAACAAGAAAACGAGCAAGTCCGACAAGACATGTTAGTTGTAATCTTGGTTCTGTTAGTTGTAAGCTTGGTATAATTTAGAACTTCAGTTCTAATTCGATCGTATGTTAGTTGTAATCTTAGTTCTGTTAGTTCTAATTCGATCGTATCTTATGTTAGTTGTAATCTGCCTAGTCCCGAACAACAGTTCTAATTCGATCGTATCTTATCGTTAAGCAGTTCTTTATTATGCTCCATGCGTTAGTTTTAATGGTTTCTTTGTCAGTTCTAATCCCTATTTTGTTAGTTCTACTAGATTTATTGCTAGTTCTACATTAGTTCCATACGCTGCAAGCGCTGCAAAGGTTGTTAGTTCTGATCTATGTCTTGTTAGTCCTAATAGTTATATTGTTAGTTCTAATTGTTATATTGTTAGTCCTAACTGTTATATTGTTAGTTCTAGTCTATGTCTTGTTAGTCCTAATGGTTATATTGTTAGTTCTAATAGCTATTATGTCAGTTCTAATCTATCCACTGTTAGCTCTAATGATTTTATTGTTAGTTCTTGCTGGTTCTAATTGAATGTAACTACAAGCAGTTATCTTTTTTGCTTTTTAGCTTTTGGTATTATCTGTTGATACTTCTACTATTTGTGTAGTTTATGATAAATTATGTTCTTAATATTTGTAGTGCTTCCAGCAGTTTGAACTCAAAAAATATAGACTGTGGCCCATCAGCATTGTGGACCACAAGTTTTCCAGATAAGAATCCCAATGATAATCCTTCCGAAGATGATGTCATGACGATTGATGGCATGATTAACAGATCAGAGAGGGTTCCTGCTTGGTGGCACACAACTTTAACCGGTGAGGGACAACGATTTGAAAGTGCGAAGGAGTTAAGATTGGCCTTGCTATACTATTCCATGGCAAAAAAATTCGAATACGAGTTTGGGAAGAATGAACCGAAGCGTATTCGAGTGTTTTGTCGGTTTAAGGAAGCAAAAAATTGCCCGTGGATGTTATTTGCCTCTCCACCGAAAAATGATAATAGACTTGAAATCAAAAGGTTTGTGGACAATCACAGTTGTGGGCAGCATGACAATAATTCAGGTCAATCTAGAGCCTCTAGGCAATTCATTGCTATCCAATTACAACCCACGTTAAAGGTATGACCGGATATACGGCCTATTGACGTTCAAAAGGAGTTTCTAAGCTCGTATGGGATTAGGGTCGATTATAGTAAGATTTGGTGGGGTAAAGAAAGAGCACAAGAGAAATTATATGGTGATGCCCATGAGTCCTACGATCAATTACGATGGTAAATAGAAGATGATATCTAACAATAGACAAACTAATTGCATTTATGTGACGCTGTTTCTACTAATTTTGCAATGTTGACACTAACGCTTAATCTTCGATTTTCTAGGTATGTAGAAGAGGTCAAGAAGACAAACCCAGGTAGCTATATTCATGTTGAACAATATGAGGGGAGGTTTACAAGGATATTCATCTGCTACGCCGCCTGCATAAATGGTTTTTTACACGGATGTAGACCACTCTTATTTTTGGATGGTACCTTTCTGAAAGATCGATTCAAAGGCATACTCCTAAGCGCCGTAGCATATGATGGAAATCAGGGAATATTTTCATTGGCATATTGTATATGCGATCAGGAAAATAACGTTAACTGGAAGTGGTTCTTACAAGGTTAGTTCTATCCCTAGCCATGTTAGTTCTATTGCAGGTTATGATAGTTCTAGCTCTTTCCTTGTTAACTCTAATTCGTGTATGGTAACCACAACTCTTTGTAGGTTTGTGGTCTATTCTCTATGAAAGGCCAGATCCATACAACCCTCCACACAAGCTAGTGATAATTTCAGATGCGGATAAGGGGATCAGAGAAGCAGTTAGAGAATTTTTTCCAGATTCTATACACTCTCGATGTGTGTTGCATCTAGTTGAGAACTTCAGGACAAAGTTGAAGGATTTGGGATTCAAATCAAAAGATACTCAGATCTTGGGTAATCTATTGCAATCTGCCTGTTACAAATATACTAGAGCAGAATGGAACGATTACATGGACGACATTAGACTGGTTGACGAAAGAGCTTACAATATTGTGATGAACTACGCTCCAGAAAACTGGGCCAATGCGTTTTTTCCTGGAGTTAGGTAAGTTATAAGCTATTTCATTACATGACTATTATAAGCCGCTTGACGAATTCCCTATTATGTTTCAGATATGGTCACGTTACATCAAATGTTGCAGAGTCATTCAACAAATGGATACATAAGGGTAGGCTACTACGGATACTTCAACTGGTAGAGCACATACGTAAACAAATTATGGTTCGCATGAATGAGCGACGAGTCATGGCTGAAAGCTGGAATTAATTTCTTTGCCCCAAAGCTGAACTTGCTCTCAAAGAGAACATGGAAAATGGCCGTCCATTGGACGTTCGTCAGTCCCACACAGGATTATTTGAGGTACAATCCCATAGATCTTGTCAAGTGGATCTAGACAATAAAACATACACTTGTCGTGGGTGGGATGTAACCCGTGTCTCTTGCAAACATGCATGCGCATCCATTATGTTTATGAAAAGGGATGTCTACCAGTTCTGTGACTGGTTTATGACGGTTGAAGCCTTTAAAAAAAGCTACGAGCCAATCCTCTACCCTATCCCTGACTATGAGAAGCGCATCGTGCCAAGGGATGAGATACAGATCCTACCTCCACTTACAACAAAAAGGAAAGGGAGAAATAAAACCAGGCGTATCAACAACAGAACTGTTTACACGCGGCCAGTAAAATGTTCTCGATGTCATATGGAAGGTCATAACCGTAAAACATGTAATGAATCTATAGCTGACTAAGTGTTTGATATGTTGAAGTGTTTTCGTCCCAGTATGCAACAAATATTTCGTTTTTTGCCGATTGAATGTTTTTTCTTGTTAATCGGGAACTAACACCAGCTTACACTAGATAAAAAGTTATAAGTAACAAAACATCTCAGTTATTCGAAGCGCCGGAGGGGCTAGGAGTAACAAGCCAAAGAATAGAACTAACATGCCATCAGATAGTACTAACATGCAATAAACAAGAACTAACAAGCCATAATCCAGAACTAACAAGCTAAAAAATAGAACTAACACGTGCACTCTATAACTAAGTCGGCATAACTAGAACTGACATGAACTACGAAAGAACTACATGCTGTAGATTAAAACTAACACGCTACAGAATAGAACTAATATGCTGTAGATTAGAACTAACACGCTACAGAATAGAACTAACACGGTGTAGATTAGAACTAACATGCTACAGAGTAGAACTAACACGCTGTAGATTAGAACTAACACGCTACAGAATAGAACTAACACGGTGTAGATTAGAACTAACACGCTACAGAATAGAACTAACATTAGGTTGATTAGAACTAACACGCTACAGAATAGAACTAACACGGTGTAGATTAGAACTAACACGCTATAGAATAGAACTAACACTATGTAGATTAGAACTAACACGCTACAGAATAGAACTAACACGGTGTAGATTAGAACTAACACGCTAAGGAATAGAACTAACATGGTGTGGATTTGAACTAACACGTTATAGAATAGCACTAACATGGTGTAGAGTAGAACTAACACGCTACAGAATAGAACTAACATGGTGTATTTTAGAACTAACACGATAAGGAATAGAACTAACATGGTGTCGATTAGAACTAACATGTTACAGAATAGAACTAACATGGTGTAGAGTAGAAATAACACGCTACAGAATAGAACTAACATGGTGTAGATTAGAACTAACACGCTACAGAATAGAACTAACTTGGTATAAAATAGAACTAACTTGGTTTAAATTACAACTAACTTGGTATAATTAGAACTAACTTAGTATAAAATAGATATAACGTGGTATAAAATAGAACTATAACGTTGTATAAAATAAAAATATAACGTGGTATAAAATAAAACTAACTTGGTATAAATTAGATATAACGTGGTATAAAATAGAACTAATACGGCATAAATTAGAACTAACATGGTAAAATTTAGAACTAACTTGTTATAAATAAACTAACTTGGTATAAATTAGAAATAACGTGGTATAAACTAGAACTGACATGAACTACGACAGAACTAACACGGTGTAGATTAGAAGTAACACGCTACAGAATAGAACTAACACGGTGTAGATTAGAACTAACACGCTACAGAATAGAACTAACATTGTGTAGATTAGAACTAACACGCTACAGAATAGAACCAACATAGTGTCGATTAGAACTAACACGACACAGAATAGAACTAACATGGTGTAGAGTAGAACTAACACGCTACAGAATAGAAGTAACATGGTGTAGAATAGAACTAACTTGATTTAAATTACAACTAACTTGGTATAATTAGAACTAACTTGGTTTAAATTACACCTAACTTGGTATAATTAGATATAATGTGGTATAAAATAGAACTAACATTATATAAAATAGAACTAACTACACGGTTTACATAGAACTAACACGGTGTAGATTAGAAGTAACACGCTACAGAATAGAACTAACACGGTGTAGATTAGAACTAACATGCTACAGAATAGAACTAACATTGTGTAGATTAGAACTAACACGCTACAGAATAGAACTAACACGGTGTAGATTAGAACTAACACGCCACAGAATAGAACTAACATGGTGTAGACTAGAACTAACACGCCATAGAATAGAACTAACATGGTGTAGATTAGAACTAACACGCTACAGCATAGAACTAACTTGGTGTAAAATAGAACTAGCTTGGTTTAAATTACAACTAACTTGGTATAATTAGAACTAACTTGGTTTAAATTACACCTAACTTGGTATAATTAGATATAATGTGGTATAAAATAGAACTAACATTGTATAAAATAGAACTAACTTGGTATAAATTAGAAATAATTTGGTATAAATTAGAAATAATTTGGTATAAATTAGAACTAACTTGGTATAAATAAGAACTAACTTGGGATAAATTAGAAATATTGTGGTTAAAATTAGAACTAACTTCGTATAAATTAGATTTAATTTGGTATAAATTAGATATAACGTGATACGTTGTATAAAATAGAAATATAACGTGGTATAAAATAGAACTATAACGTGGTATAAAATAGAACTAACTTGGTATAAAATTAGAACTAACTTGGTATAAATTAGATATAACGTGGTATAAAATAGAACTAATACGGCATAAATTAGAACTAACATGGTAAAATTTAGAACTAACTTGTTATAAATAAACTAACTTGGTATAAATTAGAACTAACGTTGTATAAACTAGAACTGACATAAACTACGACAGAACTACACAGTGTAGATTAGAAGTAACACACTACAGAATAGAACTAACACGGTGTAGATTAGAACTAACACGCTATAGAATAGAACTAACATTGTGTAGATTAGAACTAACACGCTACAGAATAGAACTAACACGGTGTAGATTGGAAATAACACGCTACAGAATAGAACTAACATGGTGTAGATTAGAACTAACACGCCACAGAATAGAACTAACATGGTGTAGATTAGAACTAACACGCTACAGAATAGAACTAACATGGTGTAGTAAGAACTAACACGATGTAGATTAGAATTAACACGGTGTAGATTAGAACTAACCGACATAAAATAGAGCTAACATGTTACAAAATATAACTAAAATTGTGCAGATTATAACTAACACAACATCAGTTAAACTAATATATAAGAATAACACGACATCTCTGTATTTGGGTTAAGATTTTTAACAAACTGTTTTCTGGATAAGTAATATTTAACAAGAACTAACTGGGCGGGGGTTGCAATACGCAATGATGCCAGGTCCTCATTTGTTGCTACCCTCGCTGGATCGGTTTCGGTCTAAGAAACCCTTTTCGCTGTCACTCGCCTTCCTTTTTGAAGGTCCTGGCTTACTGCGCTTTGAGGAAGGAGAATTGGATTCCGCTGAGCCACTGTGGGAGACAGCGGGATTTAAAGGGAGAGGAACATTGCCGGTGGGAAGAGACCTCGGAGAATTGGCACCCACGACCCCTTGGTTACGGAGAAACAACTACCATTGGTCTCTCTCTACCGTCATGTGTTTGCCATCCCAACTAACCTCAATTAACTTGGGGTCAGTCCTAAAGGGCTGCGCACGCTCCGGCCCTAAGTTAAGTCGTGTGGATCCCTGAGCCCTCTCCAAATTCCCCCCGCACTGGACCTGCGTGATGGCGTATCCTTCCTTAATGTTACCGTCCACCGGAGAGATGTAACGGAACCCAAGCCTCTTAGGGATTTCAGATAAATCCCTAACCTTGAGTAGAACTCTGCAGTCTTCGAACTTAGAATGTGTTATGACGTCCCTGGAGCACATGACACATTCACCGATACCAATGAGCAGAGATTGCAGAAATTCAAAATGCCAGAGGTGGTATGGGAGATTGAATAGGCGAATTCATACTAGAAAGGGTTGAGGCAACGTTGTTAGCCTTAGATCCTCCCTCCAAGGGTAGAATCTGCCCTTAAATGTGCCCATATCTATCAGACCGAGTTCAATAGCTTGGGAAAGAACTTCATCGGAAGGAAACTGCACCATGAAGCTGTGCCCTGCCGTCTCCTTGATTTGATGGGGCCATGTCCTAAGATTGAAGCGGTAGGTCAGCATCTCTCGGAGCTCCTGCACAGATGGACGACCTCTATCAAGATTGAAGATGGCGTAAGAAGAAAGATGCCGGATGGTACTGGAGGTGTTGTCCGGGACGGTAAGCATCCTCGGAGGGGCACGAGCGGTAATTCCATGATGACAATCTCGAGAGCTATGCCCTGTCCCATGGCAGTGTACACAAAAAGGATCCCCAGCCATTTGTAAGGGTATACGATGAAAATAGATGACGCTGGGTTTCGGTTTTTAGCATGGGGAGGGGTTTGCAGAGGCGCCTACGCTGGGGGTAGTAAAAGAACGGTGATAGCCGTACTATCGATGGAAGTTCGTATTATTAATTAATTTATTTACCTGACTTGGGAACACGCAAAGAAATGATGTGATATGTTAGAACCGTCGCTTCGAAAAAAGCGAACAGCTGGAGTGAGAAGATAACTTGGCAAATAAAAAAATTAGAACTGGCTACGAGATAGAACTAACGAGCATCACTAGAACTAGCTCTCAAATAGAACTAACACAACATGCCATTGTAGCTAAAACGTACTCTTTTAGAACCAACACGAAGTTAGAACCAACAATACATCTGATAACAATCATTTTCAATTAATTAAATATACATACATTATTGTATTTGTATGAACATATCATTCATCACTGTACACTGTTTCTTCTTTATGTCTTTGTTCATAACCAGC